CCCGTGTCCCCTGCATCGGCAGGCGGACTCTCAACCACTGCGCCACCAGGGAAGCCCTTAAATAGGACTTTTTAATCATAAAATTATGTGTCTTCTCTCAGCACAGAGTAGTTAAATGCCAGGTACTGTACCAACAGTGTGGTAAGACCAAAGAGAAAATATATTTTCTCTCTTGCAAATACTATTTTAAAATTTTTAGGTGGAAAATTGCTATCTTAGTTATAATATCTGTTATTCGCTACATTGTTTTTATTCCTTCAGGTGTTTCAGCATTTGAATTTTGTCCATATATTATATATTACAGCTTTTCAATTTTCTCTATCACTTGCCAGCCTAACACTTGGATTTCCTAATAGTTTAGCTAAAAACAAATAAAAGAGCAGTCTTTATCAGAATAAATCCAGATAATCCAGTACCAAGACAGTCTAGAGGAAAATTTAGAGGTGACAAAAATATGATCAAGAATCACATCTTTATTTTAAAATTTACACTGAAAATTTTAAATTTAAGAGGCATAATTTATAGCATATTGATCAGCTAGACTAGATTAATGGGATTTTCTATAGAAAATGTTTTCCTGAAAATTTATCACTTGGTGTAATTCTCATAATGTTTAACATACGTAGAGTCACAGTGCTTGTTATCTGATTTTTATAGGCATTTTCTTTCCTTTAAAGTAAAATAGGCTGTTCTTATGGTTTTACTTGCTTTGCTTCCTCAATTTTTGAATGTATTTAACAGCAACGATAAAAATCTCATTCACAGAAAAACTCAATATAATTTTCACTGATTATTTTTTTGAATTAATCAGTTTTACTTGCCAAAAGTATTTCTTTGGTTTAAATATAGAATGTCCAAATAGTAATTAAGTAATAACGTAGATTTTACGTCTATAATGATTTTGTTTCCTTCGTTCTCCTACCCCCATCCCCCAATCTTTTTCTGATCTTTTGTATAGGAATGATTCCTCCTAAGCCATTAATGAGAAGAGACCAGATGGAAGGGTCACCGAGCAGCTCTGAGTCATTTGAGCATATAGCTCGCTCTGCAAGAGATCATGCAATTTCCCTCTCTGAGCCTCGTATGATGTGGGGGTCAGATCCCTATCCTCATTCTGAGCCTCAGCAGGCCACCACTCCCAAGGCAACAGAAGAACCTGAGGATATAAGGTAATTATTAAAATTATTAGTAGACCATTAGAATATTGTGGGGAAACGAAAACTGTGTAGTCTCTCTGAAGATCTTTCTGGTTTAGGACTGAGCCACCAATCTGATTTTCTCCCATTTTAGTATGCCTTATTTCATTCTAGGACGTATTTTCCTTTTTCTGGCATTTCTGTATTGATTAGGGCATTTTGTAACATAGTTCTGTACACTTAGTTAAATGCTGAAATTCGGTGATAGATGTTAAAATTGGCAAGATTCTGCTGTTGATTAGGTACTTGACATGTAAAGTCAGGTAAAGTGTGGATGTAGTTCTTCCACTAACGAGAAATATGGTAGACATTTAATTATCGATATCTTATGGAAGTTTTCTAAGGCTGAGTTAAGGACAAACACTAATTTACAGAGTTACTTTGAAGCGTCAGACAATTGGTGATCTCTAACAGTTTATAACCATGAAGTTAGAACTTCTGCCCTTTTAAGGAGTATGTTATGGTGTTTTAAAATTCTGATTCAGTGGGAAGGATGGACCTACTCTAGTGCACTCTCGTTATAAGTGGAAATCACTAGTTTCGGTATTAAAATTCACATCAGCATGGTCTAAACTTCCTCTTAAGGAATGAGCTTCATTTGTTTTTAATTGTGGGGGTAGAAACAGCATATCTGCCCTCCTATCAAAATTTTAAGTGTGTAGTATAAGCATAATGTTGTACGACAGATCTCTAGAACTTTTTAATCTTGCACAACTGAAATTTTTTACCCATTTAATCATACTCATTTCTGCCTTCTAGTCCCTGGCAATCACCTTCTGTGTGGATGAGTTTGATTACATTATATAGTATATATAAGTGGAATCATGCAGCATTTGTCCTTCTGTGACTGGTTTATTTTCACTTAGTGTAATGTCCTCATCCATGACATAGCATATAGCAGGATTTTCTTTCTTTTTTTAATACTAAACAACATTCTATTATATGCATTTACCACATTTTCTTAAGCCATTCATCTGTTGGTAGGCATTTAGGTTGTTTCTATCTGTTGGCTATTATGAATAATGTTGCACTAAACTTTTTATAGAGACATAAAGCTCTTTATGATTAGGATCCATTTTTTCTTTTTAAATTAGAGGGGTTATTTTGCTGTACATGTACCTGTGAGAAAGATTTTTGCCTTGATGGCTGTTATTTCTTTGAATTATCCTTATCATAGGCCTGAAGCCCCATTGGATCAGGAACAGATAACTGCTGCTTATCCAGTAGAACATAGTCAGTTAGAGGCTCATCCAAAAGCAGACTTTGTCAGAGAATCAAGTGAGACAGAAGTACAGAAGTTTTTAAGCAGATCAGTGGAAGACGTTAGCCCTCATCATACTGACACAAATAATCAGCCTGCTTGTTTTGATGTACCTGATCAAAAGACTGTATCCACTCAAGAAGAGCGAATTTCAGCTGGAGAAAGTCAGCCTGCCCGGAAAAGAAGTGTTTCCCATGGATCTAACCATACTCAAAAATCAGAGGAGCAGAGAAATGAGCCATCTGCAAGCATTCCTAAAGTAACTAGCAGATGCATTGATTCAAAAGAACCAGCAGAAAGATCAGAGGAAAAACCAAAAAAAGAGGGCTTTATACGGTCTTCTGAAGGACCAAAACCTGAAAAACTGTATAAATCTAAATCGGAAACTCGTTGGGGCCCAAGGCCTAGCTCCAACAGAAGAGAAGAAGGTAATGATAGGCCTGTGAGAAGATCAGGTCCTATTAAAAAACCTATACTTAGAGATATGAAAGAAGAACGAGAGCAAAGGAAGGAGAAAGAAGGAGAAAAGGGAGAAAAGGTCACTGAAAAAATGGCAAAACCTGAAAAGACAGAAAAGAAAGAGCCTCTTCCTCCACCCCCACCACCTGTGGCACCGCTTCAGCCACAGTCGGTTCCACTGCCACCTCAACCAGAACCAGAGAAATTTCCTTCAGTAGAAACTTCACCTTCAACTTTGGTGCAAAAGCCACCTCAGGATACTGAGAAGCCTTTGGAACCTGTAAGTAGTGTTGAGGTAGAGCCTGCAGCTAAAACTGTAAACCAGCAAACTGTCACAGCACCAACAGTCAAGGAAGAAAAGCAACCTGAGAAAGTCATCAGCAAAGACCTTGTTACAGAGAGGTCTCGACCAGATTTAAGACCAACAGCTAAGAAAGAATCAACTTTACCTCCTAGGGCCTATTGGAAAGAAGCTAGAGATAGAGATTGGTTTCCAGATCAAGGGTACAGAGGTCGAGGCCGAGGTGAATATTACTCCAGAGGGCGAAGTTACAGAGGCTCTTATGGAGGGCGTGGCCGGGGTGGTAGAGGACACGCTCGAGACTATCCTCAGTATAGAGACAGTAAGCCACGAGCAGAGCATGTGCCCCCAGGGCCCCTCAGACAGCGAGAAGAAAGTGAAACACGAAGTGAGAGCTCTGATTTTGAAGTAGTTCCCAAAAGAAGAAGACAGCGAGGTTCAGAGACTGACACAGACAGTGAAATTCATGAAAGTGCAAGTGACAAGGATAGTTTAAGCAAAGGAAAACTTCCCAAAAGAGAGGAACGGTCTGAAAACAAAAAACCTGTAAAGCCTCCATCTTCTTTCAAGCCTGAAAATCATGTCCGAATAGATAGTAGACCTCTAGAAAAACCTTTTGTAAGGGATGATGATAAATCTAAACCAGGCTTCCTTCCTAAAGGAGAGCCTACAAGGCGAGGCAGAGGGGGAACATTCAGACGTGGTGGAAGGGATCCTGGAGGTCGCCCGTCACGCCCTTCCACTTTACGAAGACCTGCTTATCGGGACAATCAATGGAACCCAAGGCAGGCAGAAGCTCCTAAACCAGATGATGGAGAGCCACCAAGAAGACATGAGCAGTTTATTCCTATGCCAGCAGATAAACGGCCTCCAAAATTTGAGCGAAAATTTGACCCGGCTAGAGAGAGGCCCCGAAGGCAGCGTCCTACCCGACCACCGAGGCAAGATAAACCTCCCCGATTTAGACGGCTAAGAGAGAGGGAGGCTGCTTCAAAAACCAATGAGGTGGCAGTGCCCACAAATGGCACAGTTAGTAATGTGGTTCAAGAACCAGTTAATACTGCTGGGGATGTTTCTGGGAATAAGACACCAGACTTATCTAATCAGAACTCTTCAGATCAGGCAAATGAAGAATGGGAAACAGCTTCTGAAAGCAGTGATTTCAATGAGAGGCGCGAAAGGGATGAAAAAAAAAATGCTGATTTGAATGCACAAGTGGTTGTAAAGGCTGGAGAGAATGTTTTACCTCCAAAAAGGGAAATAGCAAAGAGAAGTTTTTCGAGTCAGAGACCTGGCATAGATCGCCAGAATCGGCGTGGCAACAACGGTCCACCCAAATCCGGAAGGAATTTCTCAGGTCCTAGGAATGAAAGAAGAAGTGGCCCACCATCAAAAAGTGGAAAACGAGGGTGAGTATTTTGTGTTAGATATAATTACTTAGGCACCTTCTCTCTTTTTTTTTTGGCCGCCATGCGACTTGTGGGATCTTAGTTCCCTGACCAGGGATTGAACCTGGGCCCTCAGCAGTGAAAGCACAGAGTCCTAACCACTGGACCACCACGGAATTCCCTACTTTTGCACCTTTAGCGAAGCTAAAAGTATACTTCTTGGTTGAACTGTGCAAAGGAACTAGTTTGTAGAGGGCCAAGACATTCTTCTCCTAGAATTTTTTTTCTATTCTAAAAGTATAAGGGTGCTTGAGAAAGAGGTTAGTGTGTCTCAGGAGTCTTTGCCTGTTGTTACGTTACATTCCCCAAAAGAGTCCTGTTAGGAATTTGTAGGTTTGGGAAAATCTACACACCTAGGGCAGGACCTATACAGTGTCTTCCATTTGGTAAATCATCTTACTGATGATGAGCAGCCTGCCTTTCTTTCTTGGTTTCTCTTTGGAAAACCGGTGCTCACAGGTGTCCTCGGGGACTTAAATTAATATGTTGTAACCATATACAGTCACTCTGTACTGGTTTCTAGAGAGTGAATGTTGAAACTTAAGGATAAATTATATTCCTCACTCAAGTTGCAAACCTACAATAAATGATCCAACTTAGAGGCCTAGAAAGCAAAGTCCTGCCCAACCACCAAGGCCACCAGTAACATAAATACCATGTCATTGGTGGTGTTTTTAAAAGAATTTTTCTCAGCTATGCTAAACTTGGTCTGTTTTTTTAAATATTAAAATGTTGGTTATAGTAAATTATTATTATTTTTTTTAGTGTTAGGAAACATTATAAAGTAGCGTTATTCCTAGTTTTAAATCTAGGCTCTGGTATTTACTAGTGGTATAAACTCTGCTTCCTCACCAGTAAAAGGGGGAGAAAGTAATAGTACTTATAAAAATGTGTGAAGATTTAGTGACATGATATTTGTGAAACACTTAATGTAACACCTGGTATATAGTAAGCAACTATTATTATGGCCTGCCCGTTTGTTCTTTTTTTTTTAAACCAATTCCCAGATTTGCAGCCTGAGCTGGTAGGAAATTTATTCAGGCAAAGTATCTTAATCTGCATTGGTTAGTTACTGACACTTAGCATTTCAGGTTACTATACCAGCCAGCGAAAATATTTTTGCTTTCTGATAATTTAGAAGAAGTTCCAGGGAAATAATACTACCAATTGTGTTTGAGTACCTGCTTAACACAGAATTTAAATCTCCCTTTAAAAGTCATAAGAATAGGATAACATACAAGTTACAATAACAATGTATCAATAGTTGTTGACTGTAACCAAACTATTAGAATTTCAAGTAATAATACTCAAGGGAAAAATTGATCAGATTTGTGTGCACTGTAGATCTCAACTACTTAGCAAGACTTTTGTGCTATGTAGATGATAACAACTTTGAACCTGCAGAAATAGCAGTTACTGGCTGTAGTGAAATGAATGTTTTGCAAGAGTCCCATTTAGAAGAAATGAATTCATTCTTCACCTGTTTGAGGTCATGCTTTTTGTCAGGCTCTTGTTAAGCTTTTACCTTGAGTAATACTATAGACTGAGCTGGAAATGAATTGGTAAGGCCATTTTTCATGGTGTATTTTCATGAAGTTTTTATAAAATGAACCCAAGAAAAGAATCTGTTAGGTAAAAAAAAAACCCTGTAGAAAATACCTTTGGTTTTGTGACGTGAATCGTTTCCATATTAAAACTGGTTTTTAAAATGTTTACATGTGTATAAATCTGATTGAACTTTAAAAACATACTTGTAGTGTAAGCATAGAATTCTTTAAAAAGAAATTTTCATATGCTGCCCTCTTGTGGAGAAGATCCACTAGTGAATACTTTGGACTAGCTTGGATCAGAGAAATTTTCTGCTATAAACAATGTTGATAGCTCATTTATAACATGATAGACACAGTAAGAATAGACACGATAAGAACCTTCAGAGGATAATTAGAATTCTAGAATTTAATTGCTGGAAAGAATCCTAAGGAGCTTGTCTTATCTCCTTTACTGGGAAGCTCCATCTTAATGAAGTTGTACCCAACCAAAGTCACTAAAGCTTGTTGGTTTTAGAGTTAGGGTCTTCTATCCCACTGTTATTTCTTCTTAGATTGAACTTTAGAAACTGCCACTAAGAGCATTTTTCTTTTGTTCGGATATGTAGAGGTAGTAATAAAATCTCAAATTATTATTTTGTAGGCCATTTGATGACCAGTCGGCAGGCACAGCTGGTGCTGATCCTGTCAATGGCAGCTCTGCACACCACCAGGAAGGAGCCCCTAATGGTACAGGACAAAAGAACTCCAAAGATTCTACTGGGAAAAAAAGAGAAGAGCCCAAACCAGGCCCTAAAAAACCCAAAGAGAAAGTGGATGCACTATCACAGTTTGATCTCAACAACTATGCAAGTGCGTCTCAGGTCCCTTTTATATATCTGTTTATCTATTTGTTACATTTAAATAGATACTGTAAATAAAGAAGTCATCAAAAAAGAAAGTGTTGGACTTCAAGGTAGAGATAGAGACTGGTTATGAATCACCAACTGATATAGCTTTAACTGAAATAACACCAGCTTTTAGCCTAGGCTTGAGTGCTTGATACAATTCTTGTTGATAATCCACAGAGTTTCACTGTTCTTCTTTTAAAAAAAAAAAAAAAAAAAAAAGGAGGAAACTAACCACCGTACCTTGCTAAACAGGTGTGGGGAAGCACAGAAAACCAAATGTGAAGATGCTTAGTTATATCTGTACATATTCTGTGTCTAAAAGGAAAGAAATGTTAACCTCAGTGAGTTATGACCTTGATAAAATTGGCATCTAAGATACGATAAATAGAGAATAAATAATAGGATGGGAGGTAGTGTTGCTATGGATAAATGCTTTCAGAAAGCCATGGAGTGATAGGATATCAAATATGAAGGATAACACAGCAAGAAGGAAATGTTTGATGAAGAAGTTAACAAGGAATCTCTATGAGTAGACACTTATATTGATACATGTAAAAATGTGCTATTTGCCATTCATTCAGATGAGACTTAAGCTGGAAATACTGAATAAGATTGAGAGATTTACTAAGTTAAGATCAGATAGTAGTAATGGGAAACTTGGGTTAGGTACTTATGTTATTTCAGTATTAGAGATATAGATGAGAGTTTTCTTTCATCTAGTTAATACTTATTTATACATACTAAATTTGATTTGGGCCCAGGACTTTGGCATTATTATTTCTAGACCAGCGGTTCTCAAAGCATGGTCCTCAGACCATCAACATCACCTGGAAATTTGTGAGAAATACAGAATCTTGGGCCCTACCCCAGACCTGCTGGATTAGAAACTCTTGGAGTGTGAAGCAATCTGTGTTTTAACAAGTTCTCCAGGTGATTCCGATGCACGCAAACTTTTGAGAGCTAATTCTAGACTACCATTTTAGGATTCATGTGGGAAAGAAATAAACTTAATTGCGCATTTTAAGAATTTTTAGAACTGTGGTTCTTAACGGGGATGGTTCTGCATTTGGGCAATCTCTGGAGATATTTTTGGTGTCAAAACTGGTGGCTGGATGCTGCTGACATCTTAGTAGGTATAGGCCAGGAATGCTGCTAAACATCCTACCGTGCACAGGACAGCTAGCTCAAAATGTTAATACTGCTAAAGTTGGAAAGTTCTGATTTAGAGAGAGCGATTAAAGTAAATCCATAGGAAGCTTGGATGCTAATCTTATTGTGGTCCATGAGAAGAGATTAACATCCATCTAAACATGACATTTGGAAAATGACAGGTGAAGATTACAAAAGTCCACAGAACATGGCAGATTTCTCAAATATTTGTTTACTAGTTTCTCTTTTCCCAAACAACTTCTGGAGTAGAAATTTTGCAAAGTATTATATTATTGGATTAACACAATATAAAAAGGTAAGAAGTCAATTATTTCTGAATTGATAATGGAAATTGAGCTATTAGTTTTAACTTGTTGAAGTTAATTTTAAGAGTCATCTTTAGGTTCTTTTCCTAAAAATGTTCTATAATTTCCTAAAAGTGAGCTTCCTAATAATGTCCCGTTAGCCCAAAACCTTGCAAAGCACCAGGCAAGAACAGGGTGTTGAGAACAAAGTATTGTTCACATGTCCGTAAATGCTTCATGTAATTGAGTGAACTATTCAAAATGTTTCTAACGGAGCTCTTAGGCAAGAAAATTAAAATAATGGGTGATGGGGCTTCCCTGGTGGCGCAGTGGTTGGGAGTCCGCCTGCCGATGCAGGGGATATGGGTTCGTGCCCTGGTCCAGGAGGATCCCACATGCTGTGGAGCGGCTAGGCCCGTGAGCCATGGCTGCTGAGCCTGCACGTCCGGAGCCTGTGCCCCGCAGCAGGAGAGGCCACAAGTGAGAGGCCCGCGTACCGCAAAAAATAATAATAATAATGAGTGATGGCATGACCATGAAGATGAGCTTTAAACACACACACTTTTTAGTTTAAGTGAAAAACTGAGATGAATTTAGAATTATGAAGAGGTCTCTTCACAAGTCTGAAATACTGGAGTGCGTGACATCCTTAGAAATGTTGGACTAAAACCTTGCATTGAGATGAGCATATGCTCCATTTTCCAAGTTAATTTCTTTTTTTTTCTTTTGACATCTTTATTGGAGTATAATTGCTTTACAGCGTTGTGTCATACACAGTTAATTTCTTAAAGGATTTAGAACACAAGTAGAAGCGTCATAGATAAATCAGAATCAGTTGGCTTTTTCCTTTGAAATTAAACTTTTATTAGAAAAACAATAACAGTAATAGGTTTATAAAGAGTGAAAGCCAGTCGTAGTATTTATTTTTTGTTTCCCTGTCAGTGTTTCTATAAATGCAAATTTTTAGCTGTTTAAAAGGAACTGTTTGCCAGTAGATTCCCTATGATCCACTCCATGGTCACATTCTCTTGCCAGGCCCCGCAAGTTATCACCATTCTGAATTGTATATGTATCATTCCCAAGCGAGTATCTATTTTTATTATGTGTTTCCTGATCAGAACATATTATATATTTATATTTGCAAAATTAAAATAATTTATTTGAATTGCCTCACCCTTTTCTTATATTTATTGTGCAAACATTATGCCTACAACCCAAAATCACATCACCTGGACTATTTTTATTTTTCTTCTAAGTATTAGTTAATGGATCTAGATTTCTTATACTCACTGGAATATAGAATAATTTAACAAGATAGTCAGAGTAATTGTTAAAGAATGAGTTGAAAGTATATCTTGAATTATTCTTCCACTGGGTTATTAGGATGTATGTACATCTATGCCACTTTACATTCACATGGAACTTTAACATGTATTTCATGTTTTTAACAGCTCCACATTATAGACAATAGTCTACGTAAACTAGAGGCATTAAGAATCATAAGACCAGGGGCTTCCCTGGTGGTGCAGTGGTTGAGAGTCCGCCTGCTGGTGCAGGGGACACGGGTTTGTGCCCTGGTCGGGAAAGGTCCCACATTGCCGCACAGCAGCTAGGCCCGTGAGCCATGGCAGCTAAGCCTGTGCATCCAGAGCCTGTGCTCTGCAATGGGAGAGGCCACAACAGTAAGAGGCCCGCGTACCGCAAAAAAAAAAAAAAAAAAAAAAAAAAAAGAATCATAAGACCAGCTTAGTTGTTCAACACCGCATTGTTAGCACATCAGCCTCTCAGAGCTTATTACATCCTTTGAAAAGGGGAAACGATAGTAATACCCACCTCTTAGAATGGTTAGATGCAAATGAGATAAAGTACTATGTAGATCCTTAACAGCACAGCACACATCTTGAGGCTGGGGGAGGTAGAGGTTAAGTGATTTGACTACAATAAGACAATTTTGATTTTTCTTTCTTTTTTTTTTTTATAAATTATTTTTGGCTGCATTGGGTCTTCGTTGCTGCACGCGGGCTTTCTCTAGTTACAGAGAGCGGGGGCTACTCTTTGTTGTGGTGTGTGGGCTTCCCACTGTGGTGGTTTCTCTTGTTGCGGAGCACGGGCTCTAGGCGCCCGGGCTTCAATAGCTGTGGCTCACGGGCTCTAGAGTGCAGGCTCAGTAGTTGTGGAGCACGGGCTCCACGGCATGTGGGATCTTCCCGAACCAGGTCTCGAACCTGTGTCCCCTGCATTGGCAGGCGGATTCTTAACCACTGTGCCACCAGGGAAGCCCTTGATTTTTCTTTTAAAAAACAAGGCATTACCACTACATTGCTTAAGAAAAAAAGATGTATAATATATCATTCAAAGTAGATAGTCTCAGGACTTTTATTTTTAACCTGTTTACAAAATTTTTTCATATATCTATGAAATCTTTTCAAATTTTGCTGCTAAATGGCCATTTTATGGTGTGGGAAATGAGTTATATACTATGAGTTATGAGAACTAGATCTTTGCCATGTCTTTTATTTTTTAATCACTACTGGACTAAACATTTCTATTTATCTTTTCAGTTGCAAAAAAATATCATTTTAAATCTTTTTGTATATCTGTAGGTGTTGTTATAATTGATGATCATCCTGAAGTAACAGTAGTTGAAGACCCCCAGTCAAATTTGAATGATGATGGTTTTACTGAAGTTGTATCCAAAAAACAACAGAAACGTTTACAGGATGAAGAACGCCGAAAGAAGGAAGAACAAATCATTCAGGTATAGTGTTTCAATTTGTTGCTAGTTATTTAGATTGTTGCCCAAAATATACTAGGAAATGGTCAAGGTTTCTATCCACCTATAAGGTCAGGGCTGCAGTTATTATTCAAGTTTTGAGAATGACCTGATTTTTCACAACTTTAAACTTTTTAACCAGAATGAGGTAAATTTTAAGTAGAATGTAATCACTAGCTCACCATTTGCCTTAGAGAAGACCATCTTTACTTTATTTCAAAATATATCTTATTTGCCCCATCATACTTCATTGCAGAGTTAGGGTTAATTTTAAATCATCTTGGAAACTTAATGAATACAGCTGCCATGATCTCTAATAACTTGCAGATTCTTGACCTATACAAGTTTCTGTTGTAATCTAAATTAGTTCATTGAAATACATAGTATGAATCGCGATACATTATTTCCTTTAGATCAACCCAACACCCATTTTACTAAATGCTGACAGAGGATAAAAATAAATACAGCACACGGGTCATAGCGATAAAGAGCCCTAACAGAGGCTTAAAAGCAGGAAACACTGTAAAATTCCTATGTGGTTGGTAATATTGAATTTAATTGAATATAATTCTTGGGACTAGATATTTTCAGAAGTCATTTATTCGTTATTATTGTTTAGGAAGATACATTAGTGCATATTTTATATAGCATAATACCTAGCAACACTCCCAGGATTAATGCTTCTGTGGCAAACATGAGTTGAGTGAAGTCAGTAATTTTTTGTCAGGTGGGGTCAGATTTTGCTGCCAAATGAATTTAGTGCGAATTTCCTTAATTTCTTTAACTTCAGAATAGTGGAAAAGAGATTGTGGACCTGTATATCAAGAATATATAATACATATTTGTCTTTTTTCCCCTATAGCATCTTGTAATTTAAAATCTCATTGGCAACCTTGATGTTTTTATTCTATCAAGTAGCTATTTTGTAAAGTAAAGGAGCTAAATTAGCAGTAGATAGCTTTGTTGGAATGTCTATGTATGAACTATTACTTTCAGCTGTGTTACTGACACAAATGATTCCTGCAAATTTTTTAAGGTCTGGAATAAAAAGAATGCAAATGAAAAAGGAAGAAGTCAGACTTCTAAGCTCCCGCCAAGATTTGCCAAAAAACAGGCTACGGGAACCCAGCAAGCACAGCTTCCAGCTTTGGCTCTAGCCTCAGCTCCAGGTCCAGGTTCAGCCTCAGCTCCAGGTTCAGCCTCAGCTCCAGGTCCAGTTCCAGCCTCAGCCCCAGCTCCAGTTCCAGCCCCAGCTGCAGTCCCAGTCTTTACCTCCACCTCAGCTCCACTCCCAACCTTAGCCTCAGCCTCAGCTCCAGTTCCAGCCTCCACCTCAACTACAGCCACAGCCTCTTCTCCAGCTCCAGCTCCAACCCCAATCCTTGCCTCTGCTTCCACCCCAGCCTCTGTCCCCATCCTTGCCTCAGCCTCAATTCCTATCCTTGCTGCAGCTCTATCACCAGCTTCAGCTCCACCTCCAGCCACCTCAGCCCCAGCTGCCCCCACCTCAGCCCCGACTGTCCCTGCCTCAATCCCAGCCCCAGCCCCAACCCCTGCCCTAGTCCAAGTCTCAGTCCCAGCCCCTACTGCCCCAGCCCAGACCCAGGGACAGACTCACAAACCAGTCCAGAGTCCACTACAGACTACAACACAGTCTTCAAAACAGCCACCTCCTTCAATTAGACTACCTTCAGCTCAGACACCTAATGGCACAGATTATGTAGCCACAGGAAAACCCATCCAGACCCCACAGTCACATGGCACTCTTACAACTGAATTATGGGATAACAAGGTGGCCCCACCAGCTGTGTTGAATGACATCTCTAAGAAATGTAAGTGTGCAACAGGAAGTGAGGGGTGGGAAATGGCATGGGAATTGGGGGTTTATTTTCAATTTTATTTATATACTCAGTATGTTTTTTCCTAGGCATTTCTTTTTTCTCAGTAAGAAACAGTAACAGTAATCTTTTCTTAGCTTCCTTTCTTAACACCTTTGTTTCTAACACAATGTGTTATATTTTTAACAGCCATATTTTATGGACACAACTTTGTGTTGATAAAACAATGGTACAATGTTTTGGAGGAGATTATATTTGTTTTGGTTTTGCAAGAATCTCTTTAAGTATTATATACCATGTGAAAAGTCATTGTTTTATTATCTAGCTACCATTAAAAGAAAGGGTTAAATGGATTAAAGATTATTAGCCTCTAAATTTTAATGGTCATATTTCCTGTGGCTTCTCCTTCTCAGTAGGTCCCATTAGTCCACCACAGCCACCTTCAGTCAGTGCATGGAATAAGCCCCTAACATCATTTGGATCAGCTACTTCATCAGAGGTAGGAACAGACTTAATAATGGCTTTTGTGGGGTCAGTGTGGCAGAGTTTCCTTAAAACAGTTTCTCAAACTTTGGCATGCATCAGAATCACCTGGAGAGCTTATTAAAGTAGATTGCTGGGACCCATGCCCAGAGTTTCTGATTCATTAGTTCTGGGCTAAGGCCTGAGTACATTTCTAATAAGTTCCCAAGTGATGTTAATGCTACTGAATCTCAACAGTTATAAGCTGCTTCTCACCTGTAGGCATATTAAGGTTAACATTTTGAAAGTTCTAGCTTTGTGACACAGAGAGTATAAGTGCAATTACTATTTTCTGGACTGTTCTGTTTTTAATGATATGCATGTTTGAATAATCAGTATAATTACCTAGAAGCAGAGTTTCCGGGAGGTTGTTGTAACGTAATTTCTGAAACACGCAGTATTGGTAATTGACTATTTAGGCCAGCAATTCTTATTTCATTGAACAAACATTTATTGAGCACTTGTGATAGTATCAGGCACTGTCCTAACCTGTGGCCTTAGAAAAAGTGGTTGGTGGTGTGAAAACAGAATAAAAGCCCTGTGCTCATGGGGCTTCCATTGTAGTTGGGGAGAACCAACAATAAATAACACATAGAATGTTAAATGGTGATCAGTGCTGAGGAGAAAAGCAAAAGCAAGGAACGTGTATAAGGAATTTCCCAGGGGGTGTGGAGACAGCTTAAAATAGGGTGGCCAGAAAAGGCTACTTAGGTGACACTTGAATTAAAGACTTGAAGGATGTAAGAGAGCATGCTATTCAGTTGTCTGAGGAAAAGTGAATTCCTGGTTCAGAGAATAGTAAATACAAAACCCTAAGACAGGAGCATGCCTGGTGTGTTTGAAGAGGTCCATATGGCTGGATTGAAGTAAGGGATGAAAAGAGAACAGATGAGGTTAGAAAGATAATAGGTGGAGGATCTGGTAGGGACTTCGAGCATTTTAGGAAGACAGTAGATAATTTTGAGAAAAAGAGTGACAACATCTGACTTTTTAAAAGACTATTCTAAGTAGTCTGTTAAGAACAGTCTGTGGGAGCAAAGAATAGATGGTAGGATGCTGTTGCAATAATCAAATGATGATAGCTGAAACCAGGAAAGTGACATTAAAAGTGATCAGAAATGGTTGGTTTCTGGGTATTTGAAGATAGAGCTCATAAATTTACTGATGAATTAAATGTGGTATGTGAGAAAAGGGAGTCAGTTATCTCCAAAGCTTTTGACTTGAGCAACAAAAGGGGTAGAGTTCCCATCAGTTGAGATTGGGAAGCTGTAAAATGAATCATCATTGGGGAAGATCAGGGAATTCAGTTTTGAACTTGTTAGATTTAAGATGTTTATTACAACTCTAAGTGGAAATGTCAAGTAGGTAGTTGAATATAAGAATTTGTAGGGCTTCCCTGGTGGCGCAGTGGTTGGGAGTCCGTCTGCCGATGCAGGGGACACGGGTTTGTGCCCCGGTCCGGGAGGATCCCACATGCCACGGAGCGACTGGGCCCGTGGGCCATGGCCGCTGGGCCTGCGCATCCAGAGCCTGTGCTCTGTGGCGGGAGAGGCCACAGCAGTGAGAGGCCCATGTACCAGAAAAAAAAAGAATTTGTAGTTCAGAGAAGATAGTCTAGTTTGACTACATAAATTTGTAAGTCATTAGATGGTGCTTAAGGGATGAGGTTGGTTGAGGTCACGAAGGGAGAATGAGTTATAAAAGTAGTTAGAAAAAGAGAAGAGAAACAAAAACCGAGTCCTAACTCAGGGAGTTGCGGGAGATGGAGAAGCTAAGTGATGAGAAAAGTGTCCTGGAATCCAAGTGAAAGATGGTTTAAAGAGGGATAAATCAAGTGTGTCAAATGCTGCTGGAAGGTCAAGTAAGACAGACCCTGAGAATTGACAGTTGGCATTAACAATGTGGAGGTCACTGGTGACTTTGACAAAAACAGTGTTGGTGGAGCACTTGGTGCAAAAGCCTGGTTAGTATGAATTTAAGAGAAAATGGGAGAAAAGATGAGTACAGTTGTCCCTCAGTATCGCAGTGGGATTGGTTCTAAGATCCCCCACGGATACCAGAGTCCAATGATGCTCAAGTCTCTTGTATAAAATGGCACGGTATTTGCATATATTTATCTCTAGATTACTTGTAATACCTAATACGATGTAAATAGTTGCCGGTGTGCAGCAAATTCAAGTTTCACTTTTTGGAACTTTCTCGGGTGTTTTTTTGGTTTTTTTAATCCAGGGGCAGTGGAGCCCATGGATGCTGAGGCAAGGCTGACTGTGTAGAGAACCTAGAGTAGTTTTGCCGTAAAAGGGGAGCAGAGAAATGTCAAGGAAGATACAGTTAAGAGATTTTGTTTTTCTTCTTTTTTCCTTTCAGGGAAGTCTTCCTGCTGTTCCCTACCCCCAGTTCAGCTTTCTGACTTAGGTCTGGAGTAGGCCTCATCATCTGTTTTGATTTTTTTAAGTTCTACAGAGAACTCTTTGTAAAAATAGAATTAAGAATCACTGGATTCTGTATCTGAGATGCCCAGTTTAATCATTTTTCCTCTGCCTATTTGTTTTGACATTATGATTAATTAGAACATTTCTTGTACAGAAAGTTGATTTTTCATTACTAATGAGAAGGATGGAGTAGAAAGTTTCTTTTCTTTGTTTTGGATGAGTGTACTGGTTTAATAATTTTATTAAAATGTTTGGTCCAGGTTTTTAAGTTGACATTAAAGTACAGGGACCATAATCTCTCAGCTGCAAGATTTTTGTTGTAGACATTCCACTACAAGTTGATAATACTAGAAGGATGCTTACATTCTTCTTCAGCCTCTTGGAGCACCAGGATATTTTGTTGGTATCTCATTTTTCTCATGCATATTTTTCTTCATCCTCTTTATGTTCCTTATATTTTCTGGATAGAATGATTTTATCATCTCTCCTTGTCTTATGTATATTTTATAGACATTTTTTGTTTCAAAGAATATAATATTCTTCCTAAAATTGTCTAACGTTCTCTAAGTCCCATTAACTATTTTCCTATTCATTTAACTATTTATAAGTTCTTAATTGTTTTGTACGTAAAATCAATAGCTTTCAGTTATTAAGTACTGCACCATTCTCTCTTCTAAGATTAATTGTACATTATATTGAACTGACTAGAAAATTTCAACATTGACTAAAACAGAGGTGTTTATTCTAAGTTATATCAGTACTGTTTGTAGTTGAAAGTGAATGTTCAGATATTAAAAATAGATCTGAATGACATGCCTTATTCCTACTGTTGACATTGTTATACTGATAAATATAACAATAACCTTACACAGTAATTGACACACTTAATTCAGGGGTAGCAAAAATGATATGAAATAGCGATTTGATTATAAGACCAAGGACTGAAGTTTAACCTTGTCCCTAGTTTTGTCTTTTTGTTTGTTCTTCCATGAAAAGGTTACGTACAGTTTTTGTGGTTTCAGTTAACTTCAGTCAACCACAGCCTGAAAATATTAAATGGAAAATTCCAGGAAAAAAACAGTTCATAAGTTTTAAATTGTGCACACCCTTCTGAACAATAGCGTCATGAAATCCAGTGTTCCCAGCCACCCATTAGTCATTTAGTAGCCATCTTGGTTATCAAGTTGGTCGTTTTGCTGTGCTTGTGTTCACATAACCCTTATGTAACTTAATAGTGGCCCCAAAGTGCAAAAATAGTGTGAATGGCAATTTGGATGTTCTCTTACTGTGCTTAATTTGTAAATTAAACTTTATCATCAGTATGTATGTATAAGAAAAAAACCACAGTATGTGTACTGTTGAGTACTATCTGTGGTTTTGAATGTCCACTGGGGGACATTGTTATAAACATCCTCAGGGTTACAAAACCCCATGTCATCTAACCTTCTGCTTGTCCATTTTCTGCCACTGTTCCTAATACCTGCTGTGTTCCAGCCTCACTAGTTTTTTTTTTTTTTTTAATTCCTGACCTTTACACTAGATGTTTGCTCTGCCAGAAACACCTTCCACTAATCCTATAGTTTAGATTTAGTTTCAGTATGACCTCCTAGGGCCTTTTTCTAAGTGGTTTAACCATATTTTAATTTTTGCATATCTCTTATCTAACTTTTTAGTTGTTTATTTTCTTCATCCATTATAATGCAAGTTAGATTGGTAGTGTCTGCCTGGATCAGCGCCTAGCACAAAGAAGGTATTACATAAATTAGCAGTTTAATTGATGAATGAATTTCTGATGTGTGTGCACGCCATTACCAATCACTTTCATGTATATTAATTCATTTTATTTTCAAAGCAGAAGTGGGTGACACTGGAATTCCTATCTTTTTTCTGCACCTCCATTAATTCATTCATTTATCTCTTGCTGGTGGTGCCTTTCTGTATTTGTTTTACATTTGTTTTAAATGGTGTTTTACATTTGTTTTAACTTGAGGCTGTGATTTGCCCTTCAACCCAGGACACTTAAAGCCAGGACTTTAAAACTTAAGTCTTGTCCTAGTTTTTATTTTATCCATTGTTTTCTAATACAGATCAGTAGGGTTAAGGGAGTGTTCTCCTAAAACATAAACCAAGGTCAGTTAATCTCAGCTGGATGTAGATTGCTTCAGACCTTCTATTGTACTTTTAAAATGTGTGCTATTACATAAATCATTCAGTCAAATTTGAACTCTGCTTTGAAGCAAGTATTTTTTTTTAAGTTTTTATCATTATAGAACCAGAGGGTTTTTTTTTTAATATCTTTATTGGAGTATAATTGCTTTACAATGGTGTGTTAGTTTCTGCTGTATAACAAAGTGAATCAGCTATACATAAACATATATCCCCATACCTTCTCCCACTTGCGTCTCCCTCCCACCCTCCCTATCCCACCCCTCTAGATGGTAACAGAGCACGGAGCTGATCTCCCTGTGCTATGTGGCTGCTTCCCACCACTAGCTAGCTGTTTTACATTTGGTAGTGTATATATGTCCATGCCACTCTCTCACATCTGAAGCAAGTTTTTAAATGTTCTCTTACTAGGGAACAAAGAATAGTCAAGAAAGTGGAGTTGAAATTGGAATTGACACAATTCAGTTTGGTGCTCCAGCTTCAAACGGGGGTGAAAATGAAATTGTTCCTGTGCTTTCGGAAAAAACTACTGACAAAATATCTGAACCTAAAGAACAACGGCAGAAGCAGCCACGGGCAGGCCCTATCAAAGCCCAGAAGGTAAATATAGTTCATGTTCCAGATATAATTAATAATTGTATGAAAGCCACTTAACACTTAAGGAGAATAAATGTTTCAAAATTGGATTAGTTTTCAATGAATGTCTTTGATCATGATGTGTTTTTGTCATAAACATTGAATTTAGCTTCCAGATTTGAGTCCAGTAGAAAACAAAGAACATAAACCTGGTCCTATTGGAAAGGAACGTTCATTAAAAAATAGAAAAGTAAAAGATGCCCAACAGGTGGAGCCGGAAGGACAAGAGAAATCAAGCCCTGCTACGGTCAGAAGTACAGATCCTGTGGCAACAAAGGAAACCAAAGCAGTTTCAGAAATGTCTACTGAAATAGGAACAATGATCTCAGTATCATCCCCAGAATATGGCGCTAACGTGAAGGTAAGCAATGTGCAATGATTACCAGTTCAGTTGATGCAAACCATGTCTAAAATGAATGGGGAAAACAGCAACAAAATACTTTTTTTTTTCTTGAGGCATATAATTCTATAGCTTATAAGGGTTATTATTTCTTACAGAGAAGATTTTATTTCATGGTGTGCATATGTGATCTAAAGAAATTCCTTACAGTAAATTATTTTTCTATGGCAACTTAATTCTGGACTATTAGTAGTTCAAAGTGAAAAAATATTTACCCAAGATTAGAATGCTTTTCAGCGTGTTTATAGACTTTGCAAGAATTGCTGTATATTACTTTTTATTTTGTTAATGGAGTTACAGTGGACCCCTCCTTATCTTGCACGCTAGTGAGATTCTGAAGTCAGGAAAGGTAAACTAAAAGATAAACTTTTAGTAACTCCAGTATAGCCAGTTTTCTTTTAGGATTGGAACAGATCATGTTTCATTGGTTGAGCACCAGAGGAATGGTTGACTTGCATTTAGGAACTACATTGAATGAAAGATGCATATCTTTAGAAATACTCATTAAGGCAAGATACACTGAGTGACTTTATGGGGACTGACACTTGTGGGAGTAGCAAATTTATATCTGCCATTTGGTGTTCACTCTGGAACATGTATTCATGGAGAAGAAAGGTAGATGGAATCTTTCATATTACTTGAATTTTTCTCTTTTTAATTGCCATACAGCTCAGGGCATAGAAGTGAAAAGCTTGTGTGATCTAACTCTGCCATATTTAAAGAAGAGATTCATGATGATAAACAAGGAGTTTATCCTAAAACCTAATTAATTGTGACAACTAAGATCTTGACATTCATTTATCCATGTTTTATTTTGAAGAAAATAAAAAATCAATAGTTGAAAGTAAGCTATAGATTGAGTATAAGAACCACACAGAGTTCTTTTAGAAATCCATAGAAATAACTATTTGACACTGTTGACAACCTCCTAGTACTATACAGTATATTTTTTAAATGTATAGGACCCCAGCAGTGGTTGGAATGTGGTAGGTCCATGTTTGTTTTATCCCACTGTTGGTCTTTAAGGTTTGAGTCTTAAGATCTGCTCTCCTCTCCTGCTTTCTTCCAAAACAACTTTACAACTGTTAGGCTGTTATTAGAAAGTGACGCTTTAATTCAGTATAAAACGTATTTTTTTCTATTACCACTCCACAGGAGTCTGTAACAGACTATACTACACCTTCTTCCTCTCTGCCTAACACTGTGGCTACTAATAATGCAAAGATGGAGGATACTTTGGTTAATAATGTAAGTAATCAACCTGAGATGTGGCAAGTTTGAATAGGAACCTGGCTATTGTTATCTAATACACACTTTATAACCAATATTTAACACTTCTCAGGGAAAAAGTTGATAGTAAGTTTGTATTTAGGAGCACTGTAATATAATTAGGGGAAATAGTCAAAGCTGCGTTGTTGTTTTTCCCCTGAAGGTCATCAGCTTTATGTTTAATATCCAGGCTTGTGATGCTGAGGCTTGGTTTCATAAGTACTAATCCTATTAACCTGGTTTGGTAAGAATTTTTGTTCTTAGCTTTCACATTCTACAGATTCAGCATTTATTTGGTTGGTAATTTTGTTCTTAAATGACACCTTTTTATAATGCAGTGAAAGGTCATTCACTTAAAAAGACAATTAGATTATTACCAAAGATTTATGTGTTTCTTTTTGAATTTAAAAAATTATACTGGACATTAACAACTTCATTCCTCTTGTGAAGATTGAGCTATAATGTATATCTTCATGTAGCCTTAAATGCTCTATTAACACATTATGGACCAGGGGATTTTTGCAGAAACTAGCGCCTGTGGCCGTAATACGTCTCCGTTCAAAAATGTGTTAAAAGATGACAGTAAGTTTTGTAAATTTAGCTCTAGTATCCCAAAGCAACCATGTTATAATTCAAGACTCTGTTAAAAATCAGTACAGTCCAGTATTTGGCCTAGTTCACTAACTGACAGGTGAAAAATTGTGAGCCAAAAAATAGTTAGGTAACCTCCCATGGAAGAAGAGCATTTTAGAAGTTACGTGTATGGCTCTTGTTTTGAAGAGCAGGTATGGTGGAAATTCATCTGGTCTCTTTTTTAAATATAGCCTTCTATATTAAACAAAGGCTTCTTTTAAAAAAAATAACCTTTACAGATATATTTAAAGATCTCTTAAAAAGCTTTAACTCTATTATTTTAGAATAAAAATCTCAATTATATTTTATTACAATGTCTTTCCCATGTTTTCTGTTTTTCTCTCTAGCATCAGATATATAGACTTTTAGGTGAGATGCATTAGGGATCATTTAATCCAACTTTTGTAGTCCAGCTGAAGGAAAAAGGAGAGAAAGGAGGAAGACACACATTTTCTCTTTGTGATAAGAGAACACTTTTGGAGCTGATTAATGTAATTTGTTCAAATTATGTTATGAAGCTTCACTTCATATGCCAAATCCTCTTCCCCTGACCTTTTGGAGAAAGGTTTATTTAACTTCTTATAGGAAGTAACAGAAAACTTGGGAAGGGCAGAAAGACTTTCGGTCAGTTTACTTCCTGATGTCACTACATGGATTCTCAAATATTGAATTAGTAACATTTCAGTAAGGTTTAATTATACTTGAATCATGCTGTCTTTTCTCACTTTAGAAAAATGTAGAGTATGTTACCTTTTCCAGAAAGTATATGATGCTTTCTGCCAAACTACTCTTTTCTAAAAATATAATTTATAAAATATGAATATGGAAGAGAAGATCATTATTCTCAAAACCCTTAAAACTCATTGAAAATATCCATATGAGCATTTTAATGGTTTCTGTCTAATCTGCAAGGCTAATTAACGTAGTGACTTGTACACAGAGGACTACTGAAGGGAAGACGCCCAGTCTTGTGTTTAAGTAAATAGTCTATATTTGATTTTTAGCAGTGTATCCAGAGTATGTTTGAAAACAAGATCAGTTTGGGTCAGGGAGCATTATAAAAGGTCATAAGTTTGGAATGATTTCACAGTGTTGCTTATTTGTGCCGAGTTTGGTGGTGATTCTGAGCTTAACATAGTGTTAAAAACAAACGTCCTACATGGGAAAAAATTTTAGGACCTTTTGAAATGTCCCTTTCCAATTCATTAGTCTGGGGGCTCCATTTTATGCATAGAACTTTTGTCTTTTTAAAAATTAAACTGGGGAATTCCCTGGTGGTCCAGTGGTTGGGACTCTGCACTTCCATTGCAGGGAGCATGGGTTTGATCCCCGGTCGGGGAACTAGGATCCCACAAGCCGTCTGGCGTGGCCAAAAAATAAAAAATTAAAATTAAACTGAAAAAAAGCCTTATTTCCCGAGGCTTAACACACTTTTTAGCTAATATTTATTGGTTGTAGTACCTTATATTACAATTGTTTTGAATCTTGAATGTCTTGAAGATTTAAATGCAGGTGGTGTTTTGATTATTATGGCACAGCTATTTTAAAGATTTATAAAATAATCTCCATTAGATTGTCCATAGTACCACAAAGTGATTATCTTAAACCCACCCCCAACAACTCAGTCATTGTGTTTAAACAACTGACTGAACCATCATGTAGTAGTACAAATCAATCATATAGTAGTACATAATAAACTCAAGATACAGAGACTTAGAGGAAAAAAAGAGATACGAGTAGTGAATTTCTAGTATCTTCAAGTTTCTAACAGTACTTGCCATAATAATGTCTTACTATAGCAAAGCAATTTGGTTAGTGTAACGAGGTGGGGGTGATACTATATATTTTCCTCCCAACATTACTTTTGTTCTTGAATCTAGTTATAAGTTGACTAGGTTGCTGTAAAGAGAATAATTTCTGATACCCTATCATGTTAGATGCTTCTCAGAGAACCTGTGGGTCCTGTAAATGGTAGAAATTATATTACTTAGAGCTTTGCTATACAGCGTATGGTCCAGGGACCAGTAGCATCAGCATCACCTGGGAGCTTGTTTGAAAGGCAGAATTTCAGGCCTTACCCAGGCCAAGTGAATCAGAATCTGCATTTAACAACACCCCCAGGTGTTTTGTATATACATTAAAATATAGGAAGCGTGACCTTTGAGTTTTTACCTTATGTTTGCGACAGATTCTTTTTCTGTCAATTTATGCATAAATAAGCAGATAGTATTTCTTTTCAGAAGTTTTTTCTAAGATGTCCAGAATTATCAGTTACTATAAATACAGTGTAACTAAGCAGTCAAATATTCCTCTTGGCTCTGATGAAAATAACCTTAGAATACATTAGCATTACCTTTAATGGGGCTTTTGTAGCAGACTTAGTTAGATTATAATATGTGTTGCCTACCTTTTCAGGTACCCCTGCCCAACACCCTCCCCCTCCCTAAGAGGGAGACTATACAGCAGAGCTCCAGCCTAACTTCAGTTCCTCCCACTACTTTCAGCCTCACCTTCAAGGTATGTACTACATCCATTTCTAAAGGTCCTTGATTATTGCATGCAAGGGTACATAAGTTAACAATACTCTTGGTATTTTTACTAGTTTTGTGTGAAAAGCAGCAACACTAAGCTGAAGAAACGATGTCAAATTATACCTTAAAATTGTATTAGTTTCTAATACCACGTAACAGTGACTTGATATCCTCATATTTAAAGTGAGGTGTATTATGCTTGTGAATTTTGTCTTAAAAGTACAAGAGAGCATTTTATATTTCATGTTTATACTGAGTTCCTCTTAGAGATCTTAATAATTATTGGATACATTAGTTGTGTAGAAAACAACTAACTTGGTGTTGCATGTTTTTTAATCCTAAGTACTGATAATGGTAAGAATGCTAATTTTCTGTCTTTCCTCTAAGTCATGTGTGAATTGAATGAATGTAATATAGTAATTAAGAATATTTTATGAAGATGTAATTGATTAATACAAGTGATTTTGATTTGATTTTTGTTGGATAATTTTTGAGTAACGGTCCAAAAGAGATTTACACAACACATGCTTTTTGATGTCAAGAAGTTTAGGCTTTTTTTTTTTTAATCTCCTATTATGCTTATAATTTTGAGCTATGTTACTAATACTTTTTTTACAATTGAGTTATTTGAGAGTATTTTAAATCAGTTGTTCACCTCAAGATTAGTCAGTGGTTAAAAAGTACAGATGTGGAATTAAGTGAGGATTTTTTTTTTTTTAACTGCATTTATTTATCTCTTTGGTGCTGTTTGTTTAGTTTCATAACCTGGGCAAGTATTTATCCTCTACTGTTGCAGGGCTTTCTAATGCTACACTGGTTTCCAGTGAATCTTCTTGATGATCTTCAGGAGAGGGAGTAACTAAGTTTTTTTTATAATGTGACCAGTGTTTATTTCTAGACTCTTTCTGTTTGATTCTCCAGCCTCCTGACCACTTGTCCCCTTGCCCCCCCCCAACTTTTTTTTAATACCCCCAACTTCTTTTTAAGAAGCTGCTTAAATACAAGTTTGAGACTATAAAATTTTACAAGACAACCGCTTCTGCTTTGTGTCATCTCCATCTTTACCCATTTCTTACTGTTTACTGCCAGTTCCTACTCAGCCTTTTTTGTTGTTTTTCCACCTGAATGACTGTCTTAACCTGTGTTTCATACTATATCTTACATGTGGTTTTTACCATTATTCTGCTTAAGGCAGTCTCATTTCACATAAGCAAATACAATATCATCATTAATTATTCTTCAGGCCAGTTGTTGATTCTTCAGAAAGCCCTTCCACATTGCCTTTCACTTAATGTTTTTAACACCCCAAAAAGAAATAATATGCATTTGAATTAAAGTAAATTTAAATTAAATTGTATTAGCTTAAGACTTTTTCTGGTTTATTTTTACTTTTTTTAATTTAATTTTTATTTTATATTAGAGTATAGTTGATTTACAATGTTTTGTTAGTTTTGGGTGTAGAGCAAAGTGATTCAGTTATACCTATACATATATCCATTCTTTTTCAGATTCTTTTCCCATATAGGTTATTGTTGAGTAGAGTTCCCTGTGCTATACAGTAGGTCCTTGTCAATTATTTATTTTCACTTTTTTTTGGACACCTTTATTTGAGTAATTTATGAAGTATGGAAATTTCTATTATATGGGTATTGTCAACAGTATACTTGCCAAAAGGAAAAATGAATGTAGTTAAGTAATTATACTTTTTAGTTTCCTTGAATTTCCAAAATTAGAATCTAAACTTTCGTGCTGCTTAAGAAATGAAATGAAACCACTGTATATGGCTTAAGTATTATGTAAGATTGATAACCTATAATTTATGTATTTCCCATACAACAAAACTGGTTGTAAAGGCATTGTAGTCTATAACATTGCTCTAAGCTATAAAATCTCAGATTGTACAAGCAAATTGCATTTTGTCTAACTTGCTAAGTGGTGGTGTGGGGTTTTTTTTTTTTCTTACCCTCTAAGACTTTTGTTTTAAAATAAAATACATTTGAAACCAGCAAGGTGATTGTGAGGAAAAGGAAAGAGTCAAGCAAACCTAAAAGTGTCCTGTGTTTTGAATTTGTAGTAATGATATTAGCCATCAAGAAGAGGTTATAGGGCTTCCCTGGTGGTGCAGTGCTTGAGAGTCCGCCTGCCGATGCAGGAGACGCGGGTTCGTGCCCCGTTTCGGGAAGATCCCACA